TCTTGATGCTTGGGCCTGTCCCACCTGGTCTCTCAGTCCCTAGAGCTGGTTTCACTTGGCTTCCTTTTGATTGTGGCTCCCAACTACCCTCCACCAAGCTGCTAATGAGCTGCTCCTTTCTGGGGCAGAAGCAGAAGGTTCTATCCCTTTGCCTTTCTCCTACTACAGGTGAACTTTTGGCTCCTAGTCTTTGTGTCTGAGGATTCTTGCTTTAATATTCCTGGTCTGACGCTGCTACACACTATTCCTCTTCTGCTGGGAGTCTCCTGCTCTCAACCCTGGAGATGGCTGGGGCTTCCTTCTCATTTCGCCTTGGTTCCCTTATGGGTGCTTCTCAGGGTGACCTGAGCTCTGGTGGTAGCAACAGGCATGTGGTAAAGTCGGGCCTGTGCTGTAGTCTGCTGCCAGTTATAGCTCTGTTGGTCAGAGGGTGAAGTGTTGTGGTCCCTCACCAATACAGCTAGGCAACTGAAATGTCTAGCATAGACGCAAAGAAATGCAAAACTCTAGAATTCTTGGTTCAGAGATTATACCTTTTATTAGACTAAGAAATTGCAAAAAAAATTATCTTTCTTTGCAAGCATTTGGGCACGTGCACCCTTTTTCAAGCTGAGGGAAGATGGTAAAAGTCCCAGGTAGAAAATAAACTTGGAAAGTTTTGCATTTCTTTTTGTCTCAGATCAACACAGCTACCAAGAACATCCTTGCAGCATAGACACAGGCGTGCTGGCTTGGTCTTTTGGGAGACTGCATCCCTTTGGGGATGGTATAAACTCTTCTGGCAGAAGTGATCTTTTGTAGATAGGAAGGAGGTTCCCAACAGCAAAGCTTTTTCCAGCATAGACCAGGCCTGTGTCTGTACCAGGAGCACCCTGCTGCTACAGGGATGCTAGTGGGCTTTGCTGTGCTGTCTGTGTTCTTAGTGTGGACGTGGACAGCCTAGTAAAATGGTGTTTTGTACTGATGTAACAATCCTTGTTCCATCAAAACCAGCTGTGCTAGTGAAAACAGTCTTTGGCTAATACTGTGGCTCTAGTGCTGGCAGCTTCAGCTGTATTGATCCCCCTTGGGCCAACACCTGTAGTATGGGCCTGGCCTGAATGAGCTCATGAGAAGGGTGACTGTTTCCCACCAAGAGCCTCTCTTACACCCACGGCCTTCTCTCCTGTCAAGGTATCTTTTGGCTTGATCTGTCCCCGTCTTCCTAGAGTCCTTTACTAGGAGATGTGCTCTGCCCCTGCCCCTTATACTCCTCCTCTGCTGAGTTCCTGGGGTTCCCCTCTCTCTTCAGAGGTCTGGATCCACTCTCTATGTTCCCACCTGGGTAGAAAATGCTGCCTGACTTTCCTTCAGCTCAGCCCTTGCTGTCTTGAGCCCCTTTTCCAGGGACTGCCCAGCCCAGGAAACATAAATCAGCTCTTCTCCACTTGTCTTTCCTGATCTGCCTTCTCAGGATGCCCCCCATTGTGGCCCCCTCTCCCTTTCTGCTGTCTCTGGGCCCATCTGGCAGGTCTTTCATCTTGCCTAATTCTCTTCCCACTTGGTTCTGCACCTGGGGACAAAATGTGCTCTAATTGAATGGTGCTGTGCCACACTTGGCTGCATCTAGCACTTGGCTGAGAGAGTGCCTGGGGACATGGCTGGAGGGATGCTCTGTGGGACAAAGACTCGGGCATGCTTTCCTGATGGGGGCTGGCAGGGTGAGTTCAGGGGTGTGTGTGGAGTTCCCCCAGTGGAAAGGGGGTAAGGTTTAGGAAGGACAGACTCCTTCCAGGAATACCCTTATTGGACGATGCACCCCTTGGCAGGCTGTAGGAGAGTCCGTATTTGGACCCTGGCCCTGGGTAGTCTGATGGTCCCTAGTTTGTAGAATGACTGGGACTCAGTTACTCGTCTGGGAGATTGTACCGCAGCTTTGCATGTCACTGAGGGTGACTAGGTCAGAAACCCAGGTGATGCCAGAAGGGAGGGAGACTGGGCAGTGCCCAGCCAATGCTTTCTCAGTGTTGGGGAAAAGCAGGAAGGGTTATTGGAGGAAAGCCTGAGAATATAAGGTCTGAACTTGTGGAGCAAGAAGGGACATGGGCACTATGAGGGGGCGGGGGTGAAGCATGGGTGGAATGTCAGGGATGTTGGCTCCCGTGGGACAGATGAACTGGGTTCTGGGGAGGAGACCCAGTGCAGAGGGAGGGTGCAATAGTGGTGCAGTTTTGAGGTGAGTCAATGTCAGGAGGGGGCACAGTGTGGTTGGATATTCAGTGGCTTTTGGCACTGCAGGCAGGGCTGTGTTGGGGTTTATGGAGGGGTCATAGTATGGATGGAGAGTTGGGGTATCAGCACAACTGGGGGACGAGTCAGGGTCTAGGGCAGGGATGTAGTGTAGAAGGAGTGTCTACATATTGGCATTGGGGGTGTGCATCAGGGAAAGAGGGGGAACAGTGGTTGGGGCAGTGTGTGGGGTAGGAGGTGTAGGGCACAAGGTGGGGGGGTAAGATGGAAGGGGGTCATTGTGTCCTGCTCATGGCTCAGTTTCTTACAGCCTGCCCCAGGCTTATCCAGTGCTGTTGCTTTCTTGGCCCCTGCTTTGGCACTTTGCTGGCCTGGGGGTGGTCATGTCCTGGTAGCTGTGCAGGAGGAGGGGGTGGGCTGAGGCTGGGGTCAGGGGGGACTCTGAGATGGTGTCCACTCTTGGCTGTGCTGGGTCATGCTCTCTGCTTGGCCACGATCTGGCCCTCTCCCGAAATCTAGTGGGAGGGCGTTGCCACAGCAACGGGACCAGGCCCTGGCTTTACCTCATTGAATTCCAGCGCTGCGCCAAGTGATTGGGAAATGGAAGAGCTGAGGGGAGGCGGAGTGTGAGATTGGGGGGGGATGTCTTCCAGATGTGCCCTCCCCAGCTCTGTTTATCCGGGTTTGGACTGTGCAGCTGTGATGTCAGCTCCCTGGAGACCGGGTGGGGGGGACCGTTCCCATACCTCTGCAGGGGCAGGCAAGGGAGAGAGTGACAGGCAAGAGAAGGGGTTGGTGGGGGGAAAGTGGGCTAGGGGAGGAGGAGAGAGGAAGGGAGGGGGCATGGAAGGGAAGGGCAGGACAGGAGGGGGGAAGGGGGTGGGAGGGGGGGGGGGGGGA